TCATATCCATTTAGTTGCTTCTTACAGTTCCCTGTAAATTAATTGATTTTCACAATAACGAATTGTAACCCTTTTAAATCCGTTTAAATTTAATTGGTACTTTTGTAGTCGATTTTCCCTACAAAAAAAAAGTATTCTTGTTGTCAGACGTTTACGTTCCGGATTTGATCGAATTTAAAATTTATCACAATTTTTCAAATTTATTTGCTTTTCTTTTTTGACACAGGAGACAATTTTTGTGTGTCACTTTAATACACAGTATATACGGTAATAAACCTTTTCGCAGTTTTACACCATTTGGTCCCCGAGGAGTACCTTTGGGTTGTGTGCAACATTTTCGTTTTGCGCGCACGGCAACACTTACTGTGGGGAATTTCGGGTCATGTTTAGAAATGTTCTTTTCGAGGATAAAATACACATAATTATGTGTTATTTATGAACAAAATGTAGGTTAAATATAATATTCATCTTTAATATATGCTGATATTCATGCTTAATGAAGAATAATATCAATAGTTAAGTACATAATTAACGCTTGTGTTTTATAAACTGGAGAACTCAAATCGTAATTATAGCACTGAATGAATTTCGGGTGGGCTTTAGATTGGTAACCCCGGAGTACAGCATTAAGGAAAATATGGGAGGTAGTGGGGGGTCTAATAGTTCCCTGTATGAAGTTTCAAAGCGCGCAACCTTATACTTTTTAAGGAATTTGTTATTAAAGTTTGTAATATTAACCAACTTGTATGGCACTATTTTACAATATATAATGCACTTTCCACTAAATTTACAGGTTATTTACACTCAATATATGCGCAGTTAGAGTGCGCACGTTCAAACAAATAAATACTTTAGTATATTACAGCTCTTTTATCAAAAATTTAATGTTGTTTAATTTTATGAGAGTACATGCAGAATATGTGCAAATGGCATCAGAGAAGGCACGCCCCTGTTACTCACTTTCGCTACAATTATAACGAGTTGTCCCGTCTTGTTATCTACGTTATTTGACCGTACTTGATAATGAACTGTTAAATGGAAAGCCAGACCAAAAGAAAATACGATACGATTATTTTGTTCAGATTAAAGTAAACAGTAGGGGGATCAGCGGCTGAACACCTTTCTGCGTAGGTGGCCTTCGGCCGCGCTTAGGGATTATAACCCTCACAACGTAGAATTCTCCTTTCTGTGTTGCTAAAGAAAAGGGGCCGAACACCTTTTGCATAGAACACCTTTCTGCGTAGGCTCATTATCAAGTACGGTCAAATAACGTAGATAACAAGACGGGACAACTCGTTATAATTGTAGCGAAAGTGAGTAACAGGGGCGTGCCTTCTCTTTTCATCCAATTAAAAAACTCACTAGAGCAAAAGTGAAGGCACGCCCCTGTTACTCACTTTTGCTACAATTAAAACGAGTTGTCCCTTCTTGATATCTATGTTCATTGGTACGGTGTAATATAACAAGTTATGCACTGAACTATGATAATCTTTACTAGTATCAATAATAATAGACAATAATTTGCAATGTTTTTACGCTTTTGCAATTAATTTCGGTTATTATTACAAAGTCATGACTTATGCCACTCTGCCATAGTACGGTGGTTGCTCCCTTTCATACCACAGTAATTTTGTATACAACTCTGAATGAATAAAATTCATGCTCCTTCTCATTATCAACGCTGATCAGATTTTACCCCCGAGGAGTACTCAAAAAGGTTTATTACTATATATACTGTGCTTTAATATAATTAGGCATGAAACGATACGACTAAATACAAGTGCACAATCGATACTTTTCGTTCGATAAAAAGTTTTTTGGTATCGATACTTTTGAACCAAGGGCTTTGAATAGGGCTTTCGCACGCTACGATTTTACAGGCAACTTTTGCGTTTAACTCACGCAGGGTTGCACGAAAAAAAATTGAATTGCTAAAAATATCAAAATATAAAAAACATATCAAAATATTCGCCATAAAAAGGCGTTTGAATTGTTCAACTTTACATTCTACTTTTGGTTGAACGGCCTTTCAACTGATCGCTTTCATCAAAGTTGGTCGCCGGGTGGGCTTTAGTAGTCAGCCGCACGTTGCGTTGTAAGAAAACCAGGTAGAATAAACAATTGAAACTTGGTCAGAATGTTAAGGGAGGTATCCTCTAAAACATGTATAAAATTTCTCAAGTCGTTCCACTTGATTTCCTTATCAAAGAGTGCATTTGTGACATACTTTCATATATATAAATGCACACAATACTACCTAACAGTTTACACTTTTATTTTATTTTTTCTTGTATATAAACCAATTTAATCCAACTTTTATTAACTTGTAATTACATTACATTGCACCCATATTTACAATCATGATTCAATAACACATGGTTGCAAACTGACACATAAGATGTGTTGCCATACCGTACAAAACAATACAATAGAAAGAATTCTACGTAGTGAGGGTTATAATCCCTAAGTGCGGCCGGATGCCGCCTACGCAGAAAGGTGTTCTCTGCATAAGGTGTTCAGCCCCTCTTCTTTGGCAACACAGAAAGGAGAATTCTATGTAGTGGGGGTTATAATTCCTAAGTGCGGCCGAAGGCCGCCCACGCAGAAAGGTGTTCTCTGCAAAAGGTGTTCAGTCGCTCTTCTTTGGCAACACAGAAAGGAGAATTCTACGTAGTGAGGGTGATAATCCCTAAGTGCGGCCGAAGGCCGCCTACGCAAAAAGGTCTTATCTGCAAAATGTGTTCAGCCGCCCCCTTCTTCGGCAACACAGAAAAGAGAATTCTACTAAGTGAAAATTCCGAATTAAAAATCCACTTTTATTATTCAAAATCTCAGTCTGGCAGCACCAAGTTCTATGTTATTTTGCTATCTTATTCATCGTTTATATGAAAACTTTAACAATAAATTATATAAGAACTATAGGGTTGCTAGAAAAAAGGGGGTGTTTTTGAAATCAGGGGGTCCTATTCTACCCCCCTTTTTCTAGAATTTGCCGTCCGTCTACTAAAATTTTCCTTGGTCGCCAGCGAACATTTAGCCATTCAATTTTTTTTTCGTGCAACCCTGCGTGAGTGGAAAGCAAAAGTTGAACGCAAAATCGGCTCGTGCGAACACCTTTTAATACTCGTATTGAAATCCGAACTAAAGCTGGATTTACATGAGACGATTTTCTAAGCTATTCAACATTGCTTAAGAACAGTCCATCGTGTAAATGGTGATTGAAAAATCGCAGGGGGAAAATTTTCCTTAAATTTGGTCCAAATTTGAAAAAAATAAAAATGAGGGCGTGTAGAGGAGCTTTTTTGTTATTTAAAAAGTTATTAACTTTTAAGTTTGCACAATTCACCATACAAATTTCATTGATTAAATCCCGCGAAAAAATCGCATAAAAATGTCAACAAAGTCCGGGCTGGTTTCGGCTGTCCCACAATGTAATTTGAGTTTAACTTTTTGAACAGGTGACCACTCTCTTCAAGCACCTCAAAAATATTTTAATTGTTGCACAGTATTTTAAGCACAACACTTATTTAACTAAGTTCGACTTTTCAAACTGGTGGCACCCCTCCTAAATGTAATTAAAAAATAAAGTGTATTCAAAACCATTTCGATTGATACCTATATTGTGGTAATTTATTTAACTTATTAAATAATTTGATTTTGATTCTCTACATATGGCACACAACTAAAGCCACACACATCTACGGGGCAAGCCCTTTCATTTTACACCTACCTCCTTCTTGAAAATTGAACGAAAGATACAGATTTTATGACTTGGTGTTAAATATTTAATGCAAACATTTGATTTTCTAACCTGTGGCAACCCTTTTCATAGAACTAAAACTATGATGCAGACCCAAAGGACAAGCCTTTAATTTGACGCCTCATTTTTTTTAAATTGAACGAACGACAGAGATTTAATGACCTGGTGTTAAATATTTAACGCAAACATCTCCGAACTCGATTAAGAAGTTTTTCTTTTGGTCTTGCTTTCCACTCTTGGTTTTTTAGATATGGCAACACAGTCCTGCTGCCATTTGCACATATTCTGCATGTACTCTCATAAAATTAAAAAACAATCAATTTTTGATAAAAAAAAGCTGTAATATACTTAAAGTATTTATTTATTTGAACGTGCACACTCTTACTGCGCATATATTGAGTGTAAATAACGTGTAAATTTAGTGGAAAGTGCATTATATATTGTGAAATAGTCCCACACAAGTTGGTGAAAATTACAAACTTTAATAACAAATAACTTAAAAACTATAAGGTTCCGCGCTTTAAAACTTTACATATACCCCCTTTAGAACCCCCTCTACCCCCTCCCCCGCCTATTTTCCTTAATTCCGTGCTAGGGGTTACCATTCTAAAATTTTCCCTGAATTTCTTAAATGTAAGTTTAAAATTTCAAAAAAGTCCATTATAAGATTATATTTGTATGAAAAACGTAAATTTTGTGAATTTTTCAAGCAGAATTCTAAATTTCCAAATATATTTAAGTCTTTATTAAAAAAAACAAGGTTTTTATAGTTATACAGAGTCCAATGCCTGCCAGCGCATCCGCCCAGACAGTTCATTAAACACACCCAAGTTTGAGTGATCTACAAGTTATAAGCGTTTTCAGCATTTAACAGTTCATTATCAAGTACGGTCAAATAACGTAGATAACAAGACGGGACAACTCGTTATAATTGTAGCGAAAGTGAGTAACAGGGGCGTGCCTTCTCTTTTCATCCAATTAAAAAACTTACTAGAGCAAAAGTGAAGGCACGCCCCTGTTACTCACTTTTGCTACA